TCTCTGGGAGCCACAGCCAGACTCACCTGCACCCTGAGCAGTGGCTTCAATGTTGGCGACTATGGAATGGTTTGGTACCAGCAGAAGCCAGCGAGCCCTCCCCGGTACCTGCTGTCCTACAAATCGGACTCAGACAAGTACCAGGGCTCGGGCGTGCCCAGCCGCTTCTCTGGATCCAAAGACGCCTCAGCTAACTCGGCTGTTCTGCACATCGCTGGGCTGCAGCCCGAGGACGAGGCTGACTATCACTGTGACACATGGGACGGCAACGCCAAGACTCCCACAGTGGTCCAGACCCACAGGGAAGGAGACAAAACCCTCCTCTGCTCCCTGGGCCGGGCCTTGTCCCCCTGCTGGAGGCTCTGAGCAAGTGCAGCTCAGCCGGGACTTGTGGTGTCAGATCCCCACCCGGCACCTGACTGTGGGTGGACAGTCGTTTTGACAATGTCACACCTTTGTCCTCACCTTTCAGGTTGATGTATTGTTCTCATGTCCTTGCTGTGTTCATGTTTTCACAGACAAAAACTCGTTTCTGGGAGATCACAATGTCCCATGGGAGACACTGAGGAGGTCAAATCAGGGTGATTCAGGCCACGCTCAGCGCCCGGTCCAGCAGGGACTGAGAGAGGAGTCAGGTCTGAGCCCTGAAATCTGAATTTCGTGATACAAACCCACACGCAGCAAGAACCTGTTCTCTACACATGAGCAGCGAACCCTCAAAATGCAAAGAATCACAGCAGTGCTGCCACCTGGGCCGCTGCCAGCTGGAGCAGAGGGCCGGCCACTGGGAGGGAGTCCCCCCTCCGGGCAGCACCGGCCGGGCAGTACTGGTTCTGCTTCTGAGGTTCTGTCCCCACCCAGGAACACGGGGCTTGGGGCACAGGGACATGGTCCCCTCTTGTCTTTGTGCTTTTTCACGACTCAGACGCCGAATCATTGACAGAAACGCCTGGTGCCAGGGGGCCTTGGCCATTGCCGCTGGGAGGCTGAGGGGACACGTTCTGTCCTGCGGATGCTGGACGCCAGGGGCAGCGAATGTGGCTGTGCCCATCCAACACCGCTCTGTCCTGGGAGCTCTGCCTGTGGCAGGAGCTTCTGTTTCTGGGACGGATGGAAGCTCCTAGAAACTCCTCGTGGGGGTCACTGGGCAGCGACTCGGGATTTCCAACCATAAGGCCCAGACCACAGCCCACAGCTCCCAACTCAACACTGAAATGTAAAGTGATGTTAGAAAAGGTCTATTCACACCTTTTCAACCCAGAGCAGAAGGCACTGCGTTTCCAATGCTTTTCCATCAATTCCTCTAACGACAATTTCCAATTGCATAATCCTAGAATTTTAAAATCAGCCTTATTGTGACTTTCACATGTAATAACATACATGCATTCGACGTTGGCTGAGTGCTGACTAATATAGTATAAAGTTTTAAAGAAGCCCCAGCACAGCAATTAGAAAACGTCAACATTTTTTTGACAAGCAGGTCCCGCATGTTCCCCTTTTCCTCTCAGATAAATGCCAACGTCTGACTGTGCGTTGAGAACAGGTCCCAGGAGTGACCACAGCCCATGGCTCTTGGAGAACAACGGTGTCAGGAGGAGGAAATATGGACAGAAAATAACAGTGACCCCTGACCCCGGAGGAG